TTTGGATGTGCTGAGGGAGTGAACATCCACCAGCGTAACTCAATGCATGACGCCGAAATCGAAGCTAAAAATATGAAGAATTAATTAGGTGCTCTTTCAGAAAACAGTCTACACAATATCCAAACCAGGCCTGAAACTTCAGCTTTTAGCTGGATGAATTTCACATTTTGGATAATTACTTTAGCACCTTGAAATGTTAAGAAGCTAATATTAGCTATAATAGTAAGATAAAACAGTTAATAACTATAGTGTTCTGAATCACAGGCTTTACAGCGCAATAAAAGCAGCACACAGTGAACCTATATGTAGTATTGTGTGGAAATAAGGTTTTTTTAGTTTTGGAATTCATATATATTTAAAAGGCCGTCACATATGTGCTTATATGTAGAGGTAGATGTGTATGTATAGATAGAAAAATAAGGTAATCCTGTTATATGGGTCAAAGAATGAAACACAACTTGTTACAAAACAGCTTGAGTAGAATAGAGTAGTGTGAAGTTGGACCCTTTACACACGTACAAGACACGGACGTGGTGATAGCACTTCTTTATTTTGACATTCGGTTTTACTGTGGTTTTACAATGGGACACAGACACTCCCGCTCCGCTGTCACGTCCGCTCTCCAACTGTCACTGTGAACATATAAAGAGTCACAATCACATTCACATCCCAGCACACCTGTTCACCCCGCCCCTGCGCCGCCCCGGGAGCTCGCTGCGTCACCCTTCCTCTGCAGCCTGCCAGAGACCACACCCATGCCACAAGTAACTTGAGAAAAATAAATTGGGATGTAACAAAACAGAATATTTAATAACATAACAATTTACAAAAGAAAGCAGTTCAGTTAGTAAAAATCTTTATAAAATACAATTTTTAGTAGCAATTTCTGATGTTGTACTTTTTTCCATTGACTGTTTTCCAGGCTTTGAGGTATCCATACTTCTATGTAGGACAGACACTTGGTGCCCCACTAAAGCACTCAGAACAGCAGGCCCAGAAGAAGATTTCTGAGACAGCTGCAGATCTGAAGCCTCTGTCCCTCTGTAAGCCTCATCTGGACCCCTGCGAGCTTGTCACGACCCACGCTAAGCCTCAGACCTGCAGCCAGTCTCTCCATCAGCCTATCCAGCAGATTCCTCTTCCTCAGGAGGATATAGAGAAGAGCACACTTCAACCAGTGTGTCCCAGCACACTGACAGAGGGGCAGCAGGAGCCTCTCAGTCTGGTGAAAAGAAGACCACCAGAGCACTGTCAGCCTGTAAACATCACTGAGGTGAAGGCTTGCAGCATTAAACAGTGAACCCAATCATGGCAGGATGATTAGTATAAGGCTTGGATTTTTGAGGGAGCTAAACTTTTATCTTCTTTATTTACGCTTCCACACTGGATACAGCTTTATTTAAATATAAAGAATAACAAAAATAATAATTTAATACTCATTTCTCGTTTAACATTTGCCTTGCGTTAAATCAGCGAGGAGCCGAGAATAGACATGCCCGGCCTGCACGACGGCGGTGGGGCCAAACATCTTTCAGGTCGGTGGACAGTTGGGACGACAGTGACGATAAAGACACCGGCGTTTCCATCTCCAAAAAACCCACCATCACTTCTCTGAGGAACAGCTGTCGGTGAGAGACCCTCATCATCAGGTGAAATGTCGTCATCAGAGTTTCAGGAAACGTTAAAAAATAACGTTATAATGCAGATTTTCAGAGTCAAAGAACAACAGAGGATCAAAGCTGCCAAGCAACAACGGACTGAGCCAAGATGACTCCAACACCATGTCAGCCAAGCAGCACTACCTCCACCAGTCCAGATATATGCCTGGTGAGGAAAACATAGTAATAATAATAGCAATAATAATTAACCATGTTTACACATAAACGCCACAATGAAAAGAACCAAAGGTAGGTGAACATAATCCAAAAACAAAAATCCCACCTGCCCTAAATTTCATTAAACAATAAAGTTAAAATATATATTCAATTCCGTTCAGTTTTATATATATATCGTGGCTCAAGAGTTGGGAGTTCGCCTCGTAATCGGAAGGTTGCCGGTTCGAGCCCCGGCTTGGACAGTCTCGGTCGTTGTGTCCTTGGGCAAGACACTTCACCCGTTGCCTACTGGTGGTGGTCAGAGGGCCCGGTGGCGCCAGTGTCCGGCAGCCTCGCCTCTGTCAGTGCGCCCCAGGGTGGCTGTGGCTACAATGTAGCTTGCCATCACCAGTGTGTGAATGTGTGTGTGAATGGGTGGATGACTGGATATGTAAAGCGCTTTGGGGTCTTTAGGGACTAGTAAAGCGCTATATAAATACAGGCCATTTACCATATATCACCAATTCATGACAACAGGAACTTTATATTGTACTACAAGGAGCCTACAATATTAGAAAGAAAACAACAAAACTTATAAAAGGACACAGGAAATATGTCACAAAATAAACCTTAGCTTGGCCTGATTGCAGCTTGCTATTACGTTAAGGTGTCTGGTTTCTTAATGTGCAGACTGTATAAATGTACAAAATTTCACCCTGAGCTGGGTTTGTTTCATTGTTGTTTCAGGCATAAATCCAAAAAGCACCTCCTCAGTAAGAGGCCAAGTGTCCAGCAGAAAGCTGGGAGTGTCCTCGTGTTTATCCAGAGGACACGGCCTGGAGATCCCTCTCAGGAGAGGCAAGACAACTTCATGGATGCATATTAGAAGTTTTATCATTACACCGTTGAAAGACACACATTTCCCTGCCTGCCCTTCTCTGTACTGTTGAATATACTCACAGTTTAATCAAATGTTTAATGCTTTTAGGGGATGCTTTGATTTCAATCGCAGGCCTAAATTTTCTAATCTGATTTGATCAAACTCAACCCAGCCCAACCTGGTGCTCCCAGGTCAATAAAGGTCAAGTAAAAGTTTATGTGATGCAAATTTGTTAAGCAATGAGCTTAATTATACGTCCACCTAAGACTTCTTCAGCTTGCGTTAAGACTCTTTCTCCTCTGCTTACTCTTACTTTTGGTTTCCTCTCACGTGGTTTTAGATGTTGGTCTTCCTAAAATACCAGATAAGACGCCTCTAAAAGAAAAGACCTCAGAGGATCTTGATCTTTTGAAAGGTATCGCTTAAAAGTGTGTTAGGGCTTCAATTGTATTTTTTCTAATGCCTTAAAGAGGTTAACTGTAACTTGTGATGGGGTTTCTTCTTCAGATTCCTTTGTGAGCAGCTCCAACACCAAGACGTTCATGACACCTTTACAAAAAACCGAAACAGGAGCAGCCCGACAGAGGGTTATACTGGCACCCATAGGAGACGCCTCTGCTGGTGAGAGCCTTTCATTACTCTTCTCTGTTTCTGCAGTTTTTATTAGTTGAGCATCTACTGGCACGAATCACACGGTACTAAAAATGTCCCGATGGTTGAGAAGCTTTTCTAACTCCATGGCTTCTTTCTTCAGATCCTTCATGTTCTGAGGCACAAACACCTTTAAAAATGCCATTAATTCCCTCCTTAACCAAACTTTAGCTTAGTACCCCCTAGATTTAGAAACAGCCATGAGCAGAGTTATATTTTTTTAGTTTTAAATTTTAGTTTTCATTTAAAGTTAACATCAGTTGTTCTTGGTCAACAATCGGTTTTTACCCCTCGGCCAAACAAGGCTGATGGGGTACTGTCATCAGCCTGCCAGGTGGGTGGGCAGGCAATGCTGACAACCAAGGATGTGAACTTTCATTTTCAGTTAGCGTCAGTTATTCTTGGTCAAAACATTTGTAGTCATTACACTTGTTTTGATTAATTCAACTGCAAGTTTAAGTGTTTTTACTCAACTGTGAAGGGGAATTTATTGCATCTGGCTCACAGGCATGTACAGTACTGTGCAAGTGTTGAGTCACCACTCTTTTCTTTATACATTGCTACCAAGGAGCCAGACTTTCTTGTAATTTTTAAAGTGGTCTTGAGCAATACTTCTCCAGGCATGAAGGTCTCTCATAGTTTTGCTTTGGTCACTGGCTGCTTGAACCAATGTTGCATCTACACATAACAGACAGCTGAGCATTTTCAGGTGCTTTGTTGCTAGCGGCCTGTTGCAAAAACACACTTCTTTAGTTGAGTCTACAAAAAATGATAACACAGTTTGACATGCATAAAATCTAATTTTTCACTAACCAGTTTTTGTTTTTGCTGTAATTGCTGTTGCCTTTACATCTGCACGTTCCATTAAATCGTTGCACTTAGTTCATATTTTCCGAGCCAAATATAAAGGAATGAAGGGTGGCTCAAGACTTTTGCACAATAATATGCAATACAGTCATGCCTGTTGTGTAAATTGTTTCTCAACCAGAGGTTATCTTCCTAAACGTGAAGAAATTTGGAATTTTATTATAAGGCACTGACGCATCAGTGGAAAAGGCGGCGTATCCGTCCTCTAAACTCAGCTTTTTTTCGAATCTTTCAGTCGATCTGTCGTCTGCTGCTGATCTGAGAGTGGAGCCGCAAACCAAACCATTGAAAAGCAAAACCTTAAACAAGCTGGCACCCTCAAATGAAGGTAAGACAAAAAGAGCGGCACACACTGTGAATAAAAAACGGTGTAAGCTATTTGACATTATCTTGTGTTTTTTGTGTTGATTTCAGAGTATGAAGGATGGAAAAGCAGGAAACTGAATTCTCAGGTCTTTGGATTCATCACCAGCACTCCAGCAAAGACCAGCCTCTCCAGGAGCTCAAACTCTCAGCCAGTGACCGGACGAGTAGACTGGACCGCCAAATACAGCGGCCGCCGGTAGCGCAGCAGTCTCTCGGCTTTCCAGCGGAGTCCTGTGAAAGGTTCCCAGAGTAGGAAGTGTGTCTGCCGCTGCTATAAAATATCATTCAGTGTTGTATGAGTCAGTCGACACTTTTATCTTCGTTATGTTAAATAACAGGAAGTTTAATAAAGTAATTATTTAAGTGAGTGAATATTAGTATCATGGTATTTTTTTTGTATGGGTCGAAAAATTACATTTAAGCACAGCCAAAAACTTTATTTAAAAATGTTTTTCATACAATAAAGAAAAAATAATTGATAACACAACTGTGTGATCTGAGGCAGGACAGGCTCCAGGAAGCCCTTTCTATATGATCACATTTTTAACAAAAGTATGACTGCAGTAAGAAAATAAATGGTGAGGAATGCTGTAAGTTTGATCTTTTATGTATTCACAGACTCACTAAAAACGCTTATTTTGGCTCAAGATTTGTGTGATTGTGTCTTTCCCATTCTGGCGAAGGTCTTCATCAATACCAGCAAACTGAAAACATAACAAATGTATATCACTGAATGTCTGAAAACAGCCTACATGATGCAGAATATTAAAATATATTATCAGTGAGCAGGTACAGTTTGACAGAAACTGTGCTTTTACCTCAATAAAGTCATCAAACCAGCTGGCATGAACTTCCAGGAGCCGATAAATCTCAGTCCCATCACCACACAGAGAGTTCCTGCAGTGCCTGCATTCAAGGAAGAGCAAAGATTTGCTAAGTTCGGGAAACTGAACTCGTTTAAGCTGTTTAACACCTGAACTCACTCACCGGCTGAAAGCCACACATTCCTGGGGTTTTTAGATGTCAGATAAGCGCCGACCGCAGCCAGCACGCCAAACAGCAGCCCTGCGACCAGAGAGGTGACACTGCCTGTGGAGGAGACGTTGTTAGCTGTCATCGAAACACCCCCCTTAATGTTGAACACTGACCTACATTTACCAGAATGCCTTGTAAAGGTAAAGCAGCTAAGTGTGCACTCGGAGCTGCACTACAAATGCACAGCTAGCCATAATTCAGCAACTGCGCTCTTCATGAAGGCTTTAATGGTGATTTTGTTTTTCCATCAAAGTTTTATTTTAAAATCTACTTTAGAGACTGAATGCTTGTGTTACGATGAGTTTCTAGATTTTATCTGCAAAGCTTACATTTGAAAGACATTTATTTATCAGGGATTAACCACAAACACACTGAGCTTGCGTGAAAAAAGACACCTTGTGCTGATTTAGCCTCTAGTATATTTTCATTTGTTGTCCCTTGGCAGGTACAAACAATAATAAAAAGCTAATTTCGGTTCTTCCCTTGTTCACAGTGACTAATTCCACATGTTTGATTTGGGAAATTTTGTTCCCTACCACACCCTTCCTGACAAACTTCAAAGGGGTTTGTCTCTCCTCACAGCACTGAACCTGGGATCTGTTACTTGTTGGACAGATATGTAAACCACTATGCTATGGAGCCACTATAATAATAAATATGCTATTAAATAAAAATGCATATCCAAGATACAAGTGGGTTGATATAAAAACAAAAATGCATGCAAAGCCTAAAAATACTGGTGGCTGCCAGTTCTACCCCTCAGACTCCTAATAGATGCATCTATGTTATCAATTTGAAAACCCAGGTCGCCCACCCACCCAGCAGAGTGACGACAACACCCAATCTTGAGGCGACTGAAACCCAACTCACACCTTGTAACCTTAGTAACTCTACAAGGTAACAGCTCCACTAGAGGTTAAATACATGTGTTGATTTACCAAATTTAATATGATTTTTCATCATTTTTCACACTTGATTACTTTGTAGCCCTGGAGTCATAGTTCATTCCTATTTTATTTTGCCAATATGTGACAAACTTGTGAAATTTAAGTTCTCTCACAAAATCAGTTTTCCAAGTACTGGAATATACACTCTGAGTGTTTGGATGCTGCCTGTGACCAAAAATATTAAATTTCCTTCAGATATGATACTGTAGGCTGTGCTGATGTTTTTTTTCAAGGAAATTCAAGCTCTCAGGATTTTATGTTGACCCTCAGCCACACCTTTGCCATTCTGTATTCCTGAGGACATAGGAGCAAATGGTTGGTTTAAAAAAAATTAATTGACCTATCTTAAGTAGATTTAGGTATTTGAAAACGTCTCCATAGAAAAAGTTTGAAATGCCTTTGACTTCACCACAGAAATATTTGTTTGTGAGCAAACTAATAATAGTAAAGAGCTAAAAATCCGGCAGCTTTTCTCTTTAAAAAAAATGTGATTAATCAGCCTGGAGATGGTCAGACAGGAAGCGTTTAGTCAGCTGGACAAAAATATATGTGTGGATACATTGGCGGCATGCCTCTTGTGTAAAATGACGTTTGATGTACTTAATAAAGTGGCAGGGCAAAGGTGGTTATCTGTGTCTAAAGTCCGCTTTAACAGGGTTCATGTCATGTAAATGTGTCTATTCTAAAAGGCTTTCGCCTACCTGCTTTCACATAACCTACGACCCCTCCTGCCGACACCAGAGCAGCATAGCTGAACCCAATCCAGTCGACAGCCATGAGCATAAAGCAGCAGCTTCTACTGCGATAAACCTACAGCGAGTTTAATTAACACGGTGACCACAGGTCGTTTTAACTGGTTACTTTAACTCCTAACTGTAAAGTGAAGCCAAACACAGCCGATTAAAAGACACTAAAAGTTTGAAACAGTCGTTTCCACTGATTGTCACTTAGAAACTTCCCGAATGGAGAGTTAAGTCTTTCACTTCCGGTGGCTTTTGCATGCGCTTTCAAATTAAAAGAACGTCTAAATTCCTGACTCCCCTACAGGAGGAAAAGAGATGACTCACGAGGACAGAAAATGTTTTTATTTAAAAAAAATACACTCAGCAGTTGTGCTTTATCTCACCTATAACAAAATGTGTACAACATACCAAGATGCTGGCAGACATCCAGCCTAAGCTGTTTTAGGAAAGGTTCTGAGCTGTGAAGAAAAATAATAAATCTTTGTTACATTACATCATTGGTAGCTTCAGACTCCAGGCACTTTTTTGCATTTGCCACAGTGTTTGTGCTATGATGTCTACTTTTATATAGAGTAGTTGTCTGTGTGCAGCCTGGGGAAACTCACGAACATGGGTCTTATTATAGTCCACTTTACTTTTGTTTGACGTGTAACTTTCAGTTTGATTCTACAAGAACTGCCAGTCTTTTGAATGTTATGAAATATTATATCATCCATCTTGTTCTGCTTTTCTTTCATCAGCGATAAGTTCACATTTGATGTAGAACACTGCAGGTCGTCAGAACAAAAATCCACATGTGTATGGGTAATAAAACATTTTATTCTATTTTCCACTGTTCTTTTTCTTCTTCTTCTTGGGCTTGCTCTCGTCTTCCAGGACGACGACTTCTGTGGCAATTCGGACTCTCTTTGTCCTTAGAAGTTCGGGAAGTAGTTCTACGGATAAACACAGAGCAGGGTGTTAGCTCAGGTTTACATTCCCTTGCCCGTAGGAAGTGATATGAAGTAGAGAAGAACAGATCAGAATGTGAGGTAATGACTCAATGATCCGATGAGCGGGTCGCACATTCAGGCGAGCTGAGTGTCCCCTCACCGATCATCATCATGAAGCAGCTGAAGTGTTTCCACAACCTCACCTTCAGATGTTGTTGCTTGGGGTGCTTCTTCCTCAGTGATCTCCTGCTGCATCGGTGAAGTTCTCCTCACAGCAAGGCATGTCAGTCTGGCTGATGTGTTCACTTCCCCAAGGAGTGTGGGAGGTTCCAGCTCCTGATGGTCAGCAGAAGTATTAGCTCACCGGGATAATCATAAATATACCATATTTATTTTAAACAAACTTAAGTTTGAGTTTGTTCTTGTTAAAAGGAACCCATCAAGATATTTTATCTTATTGTATTACTAATATTGTCAGCAAAGTTAATGCAAAAATAAATACATAAATTAATAAATTAAAAAAAGAAAAATCAGCATCTATGATCTCTTTTAGTGGACTAAAAAAAATGCTACAGGAGAGAAACCCGGAGGACCCAGCTTCTTAGTGTCCTTGTGCATACTTAATACTTAACTCAATACTTAACCCCAAATTTGTCAGTATAACAGGCAAAAAGTGCACAAAAGCCCAGAATAAAGGTGACGTATGAATGTGTGTGTGGGTCTCAGTGGCTTGTAGTCTACAACAAGTCCATTTCCACATTAACAAAGAATGCATGTTCTCCAGAAAGCTAATATCAGGACGCAGCGTACCTCTTTAAGATGAATTTTCCACATTTTGATGAAACCATCATTTGAAGCAGTCACCACCACAGAGTAATCATCCACGTTCACACTGTCGACCGTCTTCACTCTGACATCACAAACGGACACAAAGATAAGCTGACTTCTTCCCCCATCACCACGCGTATCAGAATATTGACAGTATGATCTACGCATGATTGGTGGGAAAACAATGAATAAATGAATTCACCTGGTTTCGTGAGCCTTGAAATCACACACCCATTTTGCTTTCTCCACATCACACAACCTCACAGTTTCATCGTCTCCTGCAACGGCCAGGATGGAGTTCTGAAAGATAAGCGGTGGTTGTTTTTATAGATATGCTTATCCTTCATATGAAAATGCCTCATCTTGAGGGGATCCACTTCTTGAAAATTGACAACAACACTTAATGTTGTGTCTGTGTGATTCTACCTCTGAAAATGTGGCATTTACTTTGTGTCAGAACTGTAGTCAAAATCTGGCTTTTGGATAATATGTCATGGTCAGCGAGCTCACGTTTAAAAAATTGACAGAAGCGATCCTTTTGGGGTTTGCGACCGTTCCCGTCACAGTGGCTGTCTCCAGCTCGTAAATGTTCACTTTGTCGTTCATCACAACCACGTATCTGTCCCCGTCTGGTGACCACCTAACAATGTGTGCATCTGTCAGGTGTGCAAAGAACACAGGTTTGAATCATAAATGCGTCAACAATTTCCTCACCGCCCAAAAGGTTAAAGGGGAGCTTACTCTGTTTTATGTTTTTGATGAACGCTGATCTTCCATTAATGAGATTCCAGGTTCTGCATGGATACAAAGACACAACGGCCAACATTGCTTATCAGTGCAAACGGATCATCTGAATCATCTACCATTAAAGAGAGCTGTGAAATTTACCTCAGTGTCTTATCGGTCCCAACTGAGAGCGCAAGCTTCCCAGACGGATGGATGGACAGCGATGTCACATGACCTCTGAAAGACATCACAGCACAAAGCAACACTGACGACGCTACCAAACATAAAGAAACAACCCTCTCTGTGTGTCTGTGCCGTCTTTCTGTGCGCTTACTTGTGAGCTTTGATGGATTTCAGACACTCCCACTTCTTCGTGCTCCACACACACAGGAGTCCGTCCTCTCCTCCACTCAGTAAGTGAGACGTCCCGTAAAACTCGAGGCAAGTGATGGTACCTGTGCAGGAAGTCAGTCAGCACCACAAGCAGAAACCAGGCAGACGTTTAGGTTACTGCTTTGAGTTTCCACCACCAAAAAAACCCAAAAACAATCTAAACCTCAGGTTAATTCAAATTGCTGAGAAAATAATTTGAAACAAACTGAGTTTAAACAAAATATCAAGTCAGCGCACTTTGAATTATTCAACAGGTCACTTCTATATTAGGTGTTTTTGATGTTTAACTGAAGAAATCAAACAGACTAATTACAATTTACAAACTCACCGTCATGATGCAGCAAAGCACCGTGCTCGATCCTTTTCTTCATGTTGTACACTTGGATGGTCTCATCTTTGCTCCCCGTCACGACAAACCTCTCACTGGCAGCCACTGCGGATACTGAAGCTGTGTGAGCGTGATGTGTGAATTCTGCTTTGGCTGTCCACTCCTGCATGACAATTATTTTTAAAGAAAACTTTTTATAACAAAACAATTTATTTGCATATAAATTAATCCGCAGACTGTTAGAGAAAAAGGAGTGAGTCACGAAACTTCTTACATTACACTCCTTTCATATACTGGGCAATGAATGTGCTTCATAATCAAATAAATACTGCATTGCATACAAATCATGTTCATCATCCAACCAACAAACACTTGAGCTTGTTATTATTACAACTTCACACCCTTTATGTGACACACAGGTCGTTGCTTTGTGAGACTCCAGCTTACCTTTTCGTCAGTTTTTACTTGATAACCGAAGGTGATCTGTTCATAACTGCCAGCGACCAGCTCCAACACAGCTGCCATGCTGCTGGACTACAGTGAGCTCAGCTAGCCGGCTAATTAGCTTTCCTTAAAATTTGCCGATTTTCTGAGCAGATTTCCTCGAGCAGTTTGTGTAACAGCTACTAAAACAGTAATAGAACACCAACAAGAGAAAGGCAAGGACAGTAAAAAGCGTGGTGCGAATGCCCGCACGCGAAAAAGGTAACTCTTTTTAGCTAAACACACGTTCAGTCCCAAAATAACATGTGGAGTGACTGCGCATGCGCAGACGCACTTTTTTACCATTTGTCGTTAAGACTTTTTCAAAATAAAAGTCGTCATCGTTCAGTTATGTTTTTTTTTACGTTGATTTTCAGACTCTAAAAGACTGGTGGGAAATTTAATTATTCCAAGGGACCACAGGAGAAACTAAGACTAATCTTTGCCTGATTTTCTATAATTTTGTAATTTTGAGTCATGGTAAAAAAAAAGAAAACAAAAGAAATAAGGTTTTATGTATCAGGACATAATAAAAAAAAATCATTTGTTCCTTGCTACCAGTACAAGCTCAGCTGAACAGCAACATATAAAACATTACACAGTGTTGCTATTTATTTAATACAAACTAAGACAAAATACAGAAGGAGCCTGTTGAACCACCTTTAATACCAATAAGTTGAAGTACTTGTGTTTTCTGTAGGACTTTACCAGTTTCTCACATTATCGTGGCAGGATTTTTCCCCACTTCTCTTTACAGTGTTGCTTCAGTTCATTGAGGTTTGCCAGCATTTATTTGTGCACAGCACCATTTTAATCAGGATGAGATCTGGACTTTGGCTGGGTCTTTTCATTTCATTCTTTTCTTTTTCTGCCATTCTTTTGTAGATTTGCGGCTGCTCGTGCTGTTCACTGTTCATTGACACGATTTCACCCAGGTTTTAGTTGTCAGGCAGTTATGCCTCACATATGACTCTAGAATATTTTGGTATACAGAGGGGTTCTCGGTCGACTTAGTTACTGCAAGCTGCCCAAATGCCTTTGCCTCCAAATTAAGCCGAAATGATCATAAAACTCCCCAAACTTCTACCTTGATATCTGAGCTCACACTTACTGATAATAGTAGTTGATGATTATAATAATTAATTGAATGCATTTGATTGTGAAAACATTTACCTTTAAAAGGGATTGCAAGTGCGTGTGAATTCCAAGTGAGGCTAAAAAGTATTGTTATGACCCTAAAACCTCCACCTTTATCACATGTTACTTATTTTTCCTGTTTCAGAGGATTACACCTTTTCTCACTGCAAAAAAAAAACTGCAGGATTGACATCCATAACGAGTTTACTTTGACAATGAAAAGTTTGAGTTGAGTTTATGGGGATAGAGAACAAAATTACTGTAATTTATCCCACGTCTGACGAGCGAGGGGAGGGGGTGGAGAGCAGCGTTTACTCTCCTGTCTTGTAATTGGCTGGCTCCCTTGGTGACGTCATGATTGACGGCTGAGTTAACCGTCTGCGGATTCCGGTAGTTTGTTTCAGA